GATATGTTATTGATGATCCTGCTAGTGGGGGTTAAACGCTAGCACATGTCGGCTCATGTCGATATGTTATTAATAGAACCGGTTCGTTTCTGTAACCCTGCTAGTGGGGGTTAAACACTAGTAAATTTCTGTCGCCTGCCAGTGGGTTGTTATAACACTGGCCATGACTTATAGATGAGACTACTGAACTGAGTTTTCTACTGCATTAACGGTTTGTCAGGAAACGTTTTGTTATTGAACTGAATCTGGTTTTGCATTGATGGTTTTGTCATTGAACGTTTTGCTATTGAATCGAATTTGATTTCCGCATTAACGGTTTATCAGTGAAAGTTCTGCTATGCTTACATGGTTTATCTGACATGTTTAAAAGTTTTACCTAAGGACTATCCATATTTACTTATTGGGTTATCTCATAGTTTTCCTTGTCCACCATCTAAGGAAGCTATACTGAGGACGGGGAAACCGAGGGGAGTGACGAGTTAGAAGGCTAGCCATCGTGTAAATTGAATATGGATTTTAGATATAAATGATGATCTTGTAAGCGAGATTTTAATTGGAGATTGTAAATTCATTTAGTGGATTGTTAGTTACAAGAGATTTGACCTTGAGATTTTGGTGGTGTGAGATTGTGATATGATAAGTTCCGAGCCTTGTGCATTTGTGGGACCCGTCTCACGAGTGCACGGCGTCTGTCGCGTCCCCGGATTTGGGTTCTGGGGCGTGACACTCACAAACAGACCCGATGTTTTGTGCAATGAATATGATTCGATGTCTGTGTAGTAAGTGTTGGAATAGAGAATGGCATCATCGACGCAGAGTGCAATCTCATCTTATTATGAATGGATTCATAGATGGGTATTTAATTTGGAAAAGACACGGAGAAATTATTCATAGAAAACGGTGTTGCACCCAAGTGGGTGAATCATCAAGTGCCGTTGTTACTGCTGCGATGAATAATGTTCCAAGTGTTGATCAACTTAGAGACATGCTTCATGATGCCATAGGACCAAATTTTTTAATAATGAAAATAGTGCCACAAGAGTAGAAGATGCAACACAATTTGATGCTAGTTTTGATGATCCATATGGTGTTAGTACAAAATCGATATTTGAGGAGCCAAGAGGAGATGCAAAAGAGTTCTTTGATCTTTTGCGAGCAGCTGATACACCTCTTTTTGATGGGTGTGATGATGGTGTCACTGTCTTAAAGTGGGTGTGTGAGCTCATGAGTGCAAAAACACTTTTTAACATGAATGTTACTAATTGGGACTATGTGCTAAAGCGTAGTCTAATGGCCTTCAAAAAAGTTGATAGGGAGAAATTGCCAACAGATTATTATAGTGCCAAGAAGATGTTGAGGTGTCTGGGTTTCGGGTATAAAAAGTATGATGTTTGTGTGAACAATTGCATTTTGTATTATGAAGAATATGAAAGTCAGTGTTATTTACAGTGCCCAGTATGTGAAGAGCCACGATTTAAGCAGCGTGATGTGCATTCTGCTAAGCCTATACCAAGAAAGTCTTTGTGGTATCTTCCAATTATTCCTAGACTTCAGAGATTGTATATGTCTAGGAAAACTGTCGAGCATATGACCTGGCATTTAAATTTTTATAATGAAAATGAGAAAATGTTTCATCCTGCATGTGGAGAGGCGTGGAAGCATTTTGATAGCACTCACCCTAATTTTGCTAGTGAACCAAGGAATGTTAGGTTAGGTTTGTGCACTGATGGGTTCACTCCTTTTGGACATTCTGCAT